ACAGTATCTTTTTTCCCCAAATTGTCAGAAACCCTTAGAACTCCCCCATCTTTTAAGAAGATGTTATTACTGTATAAAAATATTTGTACTGTCTTGATTTTCAAATGTTTCCAAATCTCAAACTTACAAGTTTGCATCTCCCATCTGTGATAGGTGAGTAAAATAGAGATATTTTCATCTCTCAGTCGAATGTAGGATTGTAACTCTATGTTTACTGGTATGTCCAGGTAGTCATGTTTTGTTTGCAATAAGAGCAGGAATTTTAATCATATAAATCTAAAATCTGTGCTCATAAAAGCAAGATGACTGCTCTCTTATTTTCTTTCCATTACCCATTATTGCAGAGGGGGAAATTCCTGGCAACACCCTTTGTGGTGCTTCTGTGGACACTCATCTAATAGATGAATTCTGTATTATGTGTACGGGTGGTGAATTTGATCCATAACATACCTACAGTCTTATAGAAATATGCTAGGTTACAATGGTGGTTTACTGTGTTTAAAGTATATTCAAAATGTAGTATTAGAGTAATATCAATCAATCATCTTTCTTTTCCTTTCTCATCAGAGGCTGCATCCATAAAATTAAACAACAACAACAACAACTGGAAAGAGTGCCAACAGTTGTTAGTTTTGGTCATTTCAAATGTTACCCTCTATCTCTTACTAACCACGTTCCATTGTATTTTTGCTGCTATTGAATACTTGGATAAATAACTGAATTCTTCCCTTTGTGCTGGCCTACGTAAATGGATTCCCTATACTTTGAGCTATAACTTAATGGTTCAAAAAAAAAAAAAAAAGAAAAGGAAAAGAAAAAGAACAACAAAAACTCCAGCTCTATGGAGTGAAGAAGGATCTTAAAATGAAATCTAGATTTTCAAGCTTAATAGTATATTTTTTTAAAATGGGAAGTCATGCTGTAGGTACTGATTTTTTTTTTCTGAGATGTGCCTGTATTTAATGGGGAAGGGAGAAAGACAGAAAAAGGAGTGAAGAAATCTATCATTAGCCGAAATTTAAAAACACAGTAGTGTAAGTGCCATTGCTTTGTTGAGGATTTGATAGCATTTAATATAACTGGTAATACTTCTAAATACTTAAATCAGCAGAAGATTGTCAGTATAGGATTCTGATGAGCAAACAATAAGCTTCCAATTAGTTCTTGTTCAATGTTCCTTTGCGTCCATTCTTCCCTTAAAAGTTTGATGCCTTGCCAATAACTGTATTACCTGGGTCACAAATGTCCTCTAAATATTTATGTTGTTTGTGGGAATATTTGACCATCTTTCTTCATCTCAAGGTAGAGTCTTTTCCATGGTGCTTCCTATAATGCCTCTCTGTGCTGCGTTAGTTTAAAAATACTGAACGCTGACGTAAAAACCCTCACATGTTCCCTTAACCATTCTCCTGGGAATTGATAGTTCTGAGTTGCTTTCTTTTCTTATTCCCATCTCCTGAAAATATTCCCCAAGGACAGAGATAGTTGAAGTTTTCTGTCCATTTGTTTTTAACTTTGGCTCTCTCTGGAACACATGTGTGTGTGCATTAGAAGCATGCTGCCTCAAATCATGAGTATTTCTGATTCTGACTCTCATACTATATATCTCAGAGACAGGTCCTATCCTCCCATTGGCATGTAAATAAATAAATAAATAAGGCCTCTTGTTGTTTTTTTAGTTTCTTAACAGATACCAAAAGAACCTAGAAAATTAGTCATTGCTTTTAAATATTTTTGCCAAGGAGAATTATTTTTCTTTCTAGAGTTTGTGTATGTACATAAGAGAAAAACAAAACATTTTAGTTTCATTGCCTTACTCTTAAAAATGTTGAAGAAAAATTGATTTACTGAAACATTTTTTTACAAAAATGCTTTAACATACATACAAAAATATGCTCACAGAAAAATGCAACAAAACTTGAATTTTATGTTACCAATATGCATAGTATAACCTAAAACCAAAAAGGAGTAAGAGGGGACATTTCGTGGCTATTTGGTTCATATTGTTCTTTGTCCATTTTTAATAAAAATAAAATGTATATGAACAAATTAAACATTTACATATAGTAGCAATTGAGAGTTAGCCAAAAGTTAGACATCATAAATTGGTCATGAGTAAAAGAACTAAATATTCTGGATTAAACTTTCGTCTAGAAATGATTAATACAGACATCAGATCTTCATTAATCTTCCTTATTAGATTATTTTCTCTTAAATGAATAGTAGATATTGATTTCTGACTTCTTGCTTGCGGATGGCCCATAACACACGTTTTATCATCAATCCTTATGATTTATAAACATTTTATCTGGAATAGCAAATTTTGGTGAATAAGCAAAATTTTATTACAATTAATGGGATATGATCTGGTTTTTATGGAATTTTTCAAAATAACTGAGCTGAAACAGTGCATTGTAGAAGGCTATGGCTAATCCAATAGACACATAATGCTATGTTCTGAAAATGATCCTGTCTTAGTTATCATACATAAGAAATAAAAGCCACATTTTGAATATCCTCATTAGAAAGGTTTAGGATAATAAAGCATTTAATAGCAAACCTCACAACAGAGTGTTAAGAATGATTTAGGCTTACAGGTGATAACCAGCACTTTCAGAAAGAATTGTAGAAGCAATATCTTTCTTCAACAACTTCAGATATTAGAGAACACAGTGCTTCATCAGAGGAATCCAAAGAAATTGAGATTTGGCTCAAAGGCCAACAAATAATGAAGGCTGGCTTACCTTCTCTAGAAGTTTATTACATTCCTTTTGCTCTTTAAGCTCTTTCTCTTAAAGATATAAATTGGAAACGGTATACTTCCTTCGTAGAAAGTCTTAAGTCATTACTGAAATAATTGACAGAATATAATACAATATTTTTATGTAGGGAGGCTATTATGATACCAACATATCACATAGACAGTAATGGGCATCTAATTCTGCTATTCGTAATCTCCATGCTGAGAGAGAAAATCTGCTTTGAATCATTAAAAATTGAAGCAAAAAATGATGGGCTTGACTATTTGGTTATCTAAATTTGGACTGGAAGGCCATCTTCAGTTACATAAAATATCCTTCCCAAGCTCTAGTTCTCAATCCCATTACATCCCACTTGATTTCTCATTTGCCAGCCCCTATGGCCACACTCTTTATGCTTAGCAAAAAACAAACTAAGTTAAGTCACGGTGGGGTGCCTTTTGTGAGGCCACTCAGAATAGGAAGAAAGAAAGTGCAAGCTAGAGATGTAGAGAATATAAAGAAAACAAGGCACAAACAAAGGAGGAGGAAGGGAGAAGAAAACATTACGGGGTCAAGAATCATAAAGTCACATACACTTTAAAATTTTTGCTAGTAAGTACTATGGGTCTTCTCCGTTTGGGGAGGCTGTCCCAGAAAGCTGGAAAATCAATTCTGAATTAATAAGGGTCTTTTTTCCTTTCACAAGCTCCTGGTGAAACAAAAAAAAGAGCTAATTAAACATCTTACAGTCACCCCATAATTACAGCCTTTACACATATGCAGGATGGTCATTTTTTCCATCAGGAATGCTATTCTTTTCACTTCCTGCCCGAAGTGCTCCAATACGTTACTATAAGGGAGTTTAAGAATTTAAGATATTCAAGGAAACCTTTCCACCACTGGCACACCATTTCCTTCCTGAAGGAGGCCTGTGCCCTAGGGAGAGGCCTAATCCAAGACCCTTCTGCTCTTTCTAGAAGGGCTAAACTCGTCGCACCACTCCTTCGCCTGGGGGTGGAGGTGAAACTGGTCTGGCAGGGCTGCTCCCTAGCTCTTACCCCCCCACCTTTCTTTCCTCCTCCACATTTCAAGCGCATTTCGCAAACTGCCACCTGTTCCTGCTGCTTACCCTTTTCGTGCTTTCACATTGACACAGTGAACTCACGCCTGCAGCAACCCTGTCAAGGCAAGGCGGCCCAGTGGCCAAAGCAGGGCGTTTTGAACCTTTTGGAAGTAGTCTCACTAGGATGTTAAAAAGCCCTTCGCCGCACGGTCCTCCCGGGAAGGAGAATTCGTCCCTCCACCACTCTGTCCTACTGAACGGCAGGTCTGGAAGGATTTTACAGCGCCAGGTCCTTCTCTGACAGTCCTCAGACCGGGCCCTGAGGCTCCGTCCTCGCCAGGTGAGCCCTACTTGGGCGTGGGGCCGCGGGCACGACTGTCATTCTGCCACGCCAGAGGCTCTAGCCTCTGGCACTCCAGGGCAAATAAACAGTGCCACCTGGTAGAGTCAAAAGTGGTGTTTTCAAATGCAAATACAAACCCCTCCTACATTTGTGGTCAAATCACTTCTCCACGATTCCTAGGCTGGCAGGGGCTTCTGCGCCTGGGAGAAGGGGTGCCTGCCTGGGCAAAAATAACCCCCGGAGACGCAAGTCAAATACTCCGCCGGAGCTCTGCAGCCTGTGGATGCCGGCTGGGCGGCTGGCTGTCCCCCCGGGAGCCCCGCGGGGCTGGGTCCGCTCCTCCGCCTCACGCCGCGCGGCGGGAGCAAGCCGACGCCGACTTTGGGAGTTCCTCTCTGCCTTGTATGGAGGGCTGCTCGGGGCCCGTCTCCGCCCGACTGCTCTGACGCCCAGCCCTCCCGCTGCCCACCCCCAGCCACCTCCCTCTGACTTGCCCGGAGAAGCCAGACGGAGCCTCTCCCTGCCACAAGTCTCTCCGCCTGCCATTCCCCCATTCCTGCATCCCCCCCACCCCCCCTCCCCAGCGCCGTCACCCCTCCTCCGCCCCCGCCTCCGCCTCCGCCTGCTCCCCCGGCAATCAGGGGAATAAATCAGGGAGGAAACCGAGAGGCACAGAGATAGCGAGAGCGCGCGAGCGCCGGCGGACTCGCCCAGGTCTGTTTCCAAAGTCGCCCTTGATGGCGGCGGAGGCGCGGCAGCCGCGGCGCGGAGCAGCCGACGCGCGCTAGTGGGTCCGCCCGCCACCGCCCCTTCCTCCGCGCCGGCGTTCGCCCCTGCGGCCCCCCGCGCCAGTCCGCGCCCCGGCCCCGGGCGCGCCAGCTCTCCAGACGTCCGCGGTCCGGCCGGCGTGTGCTCCTCCCGCGGTTGCCAGCACCGTTTCCTCCCCCGGCTCGGGAGGGAGGCGGGATTGATCTTCGATCGCGAAGATGGCTGCTGGCTGCCTGCTGGCCTTGACTCTGACACTTTTCCAGTCTTGGCTGATCGGCCCCTCGTCGGAGGAGCCGTTCCCTTCGGCCGTCACGTAAGTCGCCGGGCGGGGGAGGGCTGCGAGTGCGGGCCGAGGGGTGCCGGGGGAGCTGGGCGCGGGGACGGTTCCCGACTAGCGGGGCTTTTCTGCCCGTGGGGGTGGGGAGCGATCCGGGCTGGGATCTGGAGAGGCCGAGCGGGAGGTGCGCGCGGCTCGCCGCCGGAATGGGCGCCGAACCGGCGTCTCGGGCGCCTCGGTGGGGCCGGGCTGTCCCGGGAAACGTCCGCCGACGACTCCGGGCGCCTCAGCCCGTCTCCGAAAGGGTTCCTTAGACTTACAGAGTTTAGCTGTACGGGGGGGAAGAAAGTTTCCAGCCAGATATCCGCTGTCCTCAAATCCAGCCCAGGGGGGAAAAAAAAAAAAAAAAAAAGTTGTGTTTGCTTGGGTGTTTTACAAATAGGTAATTTCATGTTTGCCAGGGTGGCATGGACTTCTCCCGCACTTGGCCTGGGGGATGCTGTCTAATTGCTGTAGTGCCCAAACTCATTTAGATCCCAAATTACTGGGCGCACTTGACAGTCTGTCTCATCGGAAGAGTGCTCGCTCGACGCAGCTTAGAGTGCTGTCCACTCAAGGGGCTCGCAGGTATTGGGACCACACCATCCAACCCCCTCATCCTTTATTTGAAGCATCTAAGTGCGGGCAGACACACTGTTCCTGTTCTTAGAATGAATAGAACCTATTCTTTGAGGGAGGGATGTACGTTTCCAGAGTCGCCTGCAATTTTCTCTTATTTTTAACATTTCTAAAATCACTTAAAAAATTCGCTGCCGTTCTGGAAATAGAGTATTTAAAGGTAACTCTATAGTCACACGGCGGGAAGGGAATGAAAAATAATAATTCTCTTTTCTCTCAGCCTGGAAAAAAAGAAGCAAAGTCAGTAGCTCATAAAAATATATACACATTTTTTAAATGCGCTGAAGAGCCTATCGGGCATTTTGGGAAAGCATTTATTTTGGTTCTTAAAGCTACTTTAAAGCTTCCAAGAGTAGGTGATCTTAAATGGATGAGTCACTTTAATGTATTTTACATAACAGAAACAAAGCCCAAGGTAGCCTTCCCGGTATTTCTGCTGTTGGGAATTATTTGCTGTCCTTTGTTGGCTGAGTGTTGAATGCTGGAGTTTTTGGTGGATGCTAACAGTGAACCTTTACCAGTTGAAACCCTGCAGGGATTATTTAAGATGCAGCTTAAAGTATTTATTACATTAGGTGTCAGTGCAAGAATCTGGAGGATGCACATTCTCACCCGGAGAAGGGGAGTGTCGAATATTTTTTGTCATTGATTTACAGTCATGTTCCTTTTTAGATAATCTTCCATAAAGATGATTGCAGATCCTTTTTGTTATGAAGCGAAAGGGGAAATACCATCTGTAGATCTCTCTTTAATTGGTAGGATGTTCCAAGCGGATATTTTGAAATATATAGAGTAAGAATTACTCTAAAGATGCTTCAAAATTATTCACTCTTATTAGGAAATTACACTTTTATTGATTGAATTCTTTATTCTTTTTGTAGCTTGGCCTATAAAGCGAGAATTCAAGTGACTCGCTTACATTTGTGTCAAATGAAGAAGTGGCTCTTCAAAAAGGAGTCGGTGTATGCAGTTGACATATTTTTAACGTGTTATTTTTAACTGACAATTTATCAATATTTCTTTCATTTGGAGGGAATGCATCACTCACCCCACTGGGGGAAACTGTGACTTTTTACAGATACAACAAAATACGACCTTTTATTCCTGAACATACCATTGTAAAATACTAATGTACAAATCCTTATTGTGAGAAGGACCTCTGCAAAAAATGCTTTCCTAAAATTAAAATAACCTCATGTTTATGATCAGAAATTCACTGGAGACAAGAAAGAAAATAAATAGGGAAGAAAAATAGGAATTAGGAAACCACAATTTCTTCCCTTTGAAAGGATTTTAAATTTATTTTTTAACAATGGGAATTTAAGATATTTTCAAATAATATGAAACATTAATTATTTTGTAGAGTAAAAGCTTAATGAAAGACTTTGTAGAGCTAAGTCAGTCTCCTGTAGGTAACGTTAATGCTATTTGTATAAGTCTTGTGCATCTTCAGTAATTTATTTCTAGAGTTAAAATATTCTGAGGAGAGGAGAAATGAGAGTTGACATTTGTACTTCTTGTTAGGTTTCTGAATAAACTTTATGAAATTTAAAAAAGTGCAGTGTTAATTTTATCAAGATGCGCCATTGGCTTTTCTTGCAAGAAAAGGATTCGTATTGAGTGTTTATCATGATAAATCTCAAATCTTTGGAAAAAATTCCAAGCTGATAAAAACTCAGTACAAAGATTATATAGTATCATTGAAGGCAAACTGTTACACTCCTATATATAAATTTCTCTAGAAATCATTAATAAATTTTTTTGGTTTTTTTTTTTTTGACAATTTTATTTTTCCCCAGAAAAAGTAGTATCAGTTTTAGAGGAAGAGCATGCCATCAACACAGGATAAAATTAATTGTGCACTCACTGGAGTGGGACCTGAATTAGAATTACTAATACAAAGCTTTAATTTTTTTAAGTAGTGTTTACAATAATATTAAAGGTTTAAGTTTTATTATAATAAAACAAATGTATCCTTTTAAATTTCTTTTTTAGTTTTTCCTGGTTTAGCATATATTCTCACATAGTATATTCTTCTGGATTTAAGTATAGTTAAACTGTTCTAAGACCTAACACTAAAATAACAAGGTTCCCCTTCCCCCACCAAGAAAGGAATTTTGATACAGTTCTTTTGCTTAGGTTAGGCTTTACTTTTGAAAATGATTGTCTCAGTAAAGTGTGAATTGTAAATATGCCATATAGTATCAACCACCTAATGCATATTGGTTTATATATAAATGGAAATCACACCATTTTCATGTTATAGTATGCACATATTATATTGGTAGTTTAAGATAAGAGTTTTCAAAGAGGGAGAGTTCTTGCTTGTTCTAGAAATAATTTCTTAGCGCATAAATGAAAACACTTTTGTTTTAAAACTCAGAATGATATGTATGTTAGCCAGTATTGTAACGTTAATTTAAATCTGTTGCTCTTTTAGAATCTATTTACAAATCTAGATTTAAAAAAAAAAATCCCTGTAGTTGTAACTACTATTTAATGTTAAACTTTTATCTCAGTCACATCAAAATACCAATCAGTCAAGAATAATTGGCTGAGAGCCCATTGGTATATGAGGATTTTAATACAGACTGTGTAATAGGATACATATATCTAATAATAATTAGCTACCTTTAGGTATCTAAAGGAAATAGATATATCTCATGAAACAATCGTACTTTGGGGTTTAAATACTTAAGATATAAGTATTTTTTTCTGTTATTAGACAAATTTGTATTTACAGGCTATAGAAAATAAGTTCATGTCATAACAGTGAAATGGATATCTTTTTCATGTGTTAGAAGTGACATAAGTATTTTCATTTGGACTTACCAATTTCTATTCACATACTACATGTATAAGGAAATGTGTCTTAAGATAAAATATGAGGTAAAATAATAAGTGTAAATTAAGACCTAAAAACAATGACCATTAATAAATCCCTTTCTCAGCTCTTTAATTTGTTCTCATAAGCTTAACCATAAGACAGCATTTATTATTCCACAGGTGTATGTTTAAAATATGCAACAGTAGGTATATTTTTCAGATAAGTAGTAACATGATGGTAAATATCTTAATATTGATACATGGGTATATGTGTAGCTATCTGGATTGGCATTTGAATGTGAGCATTAGGCGGAGAGTAATGGATATGATCTAAAAAACATTTTGGAAAGGTACAAGAATCTAAGCTTATGGTTTTTAAAAAGGAAATAAGATGTACCTTTATTGTTGTGTGTGGCTTTCACACATTTATATGCACTTATTAAATTAAAATCTATAGCAAGTTGTTCATTTTAAAAATAGAAACTTTACCGCTCTTTTTCTTCAAAGAAACCTGGCTGTGCAGACTTTTCTATTATTTCACCAACACTGGTTAAAAAACGTAATAAAATACTTTTCATTCTTGGGTTTATACATGGTAAGGTTTTGCAAAAATAAAAATAACATGCAAATTACGTATTCACATTTACTGTTTAGATTTATAAGTATACATAAGAAATAACAATGCATTTAGGAATTTTTAAAATGACTTAAAAATTGTACCCATAACAAAGTATTATTTAATTGATGTGTTTTCTGGAGTATCATTATATAAAACACATACACAGAAATTTCTGTTCTTTTCCCTGTTTCTTAATACAGATACGGATTTCCAGGAAAGTAATCTGTTCTCAGTTCACATCTTGGATTCTAATGAGTGTCTTTGAACTGTTTATAACCTTAAACTGGAGACTTAAATGGTTAAAATAAAGTGTATTTTAGGGAAATCATCTGATCTGTTGATTTCCTTCAGTCCCTTACATGTATAGACATAATCAGTTCCAACATAAACATACTTAGATAGGAGTTTGAAAAAAAAATCAGAATTTGTTTCAGTGTTTCTAAAAAAGTAACATTTTGTTATTACTGAAGTGTCAACCTTCCATCATTTGTAATAGTATCGTTGTAGGATTTCAGAAAAGCCTGTAAGCTGCTCACCATGGGGAATGAGGTCTGTTCTATCACATTCAGTCCTCATTTACTTAAGGCTTAGGGTGTGCATCAGACCCTGTGTCACACAATGTCGGCCACTTTTTCTTTTCATGGGCTGTTTATGTCTAGTACCACAAACGTCCCCAAGCCTTTCATAGGATTGCTTTCCAGTAAACTTCAAACTGTATCAAGACGGGCAACCATGTAACTTAGGCTTGATTTATTGTGTGTGTGTGTGTGTGTGTGTGTGTATGTATGTATGTGTATGCCCCAAATCATGAAACTGGTTGTGTCATATTGTTTACAGATTTGAAAGAAAAAAGCAATTGACTTCAGTGTTAATTGAAATAAAAATGGTAGTACTTTGTGAAAAATAATGTATT